GTGACTAGTAATAATCAGATATTTAGAGATTAGAAATGCATGTGCAAACATCCAATGTCAATTGCATTGAAAAAGAATTTTTCTGTATCAAACTGTGTATTTTAATAATGAAATGGAGATCTTTTTAAAGGTTAAAATATCATTTAATTTATGTCTTATAGGGTTTATACTGAGTTCAATATTGTATGACTGTATTAATTCAACTTTACAGCCATCAGCCATCTTTGAAAGAGATGTATCCTTGCTCTAGAATGTGTTACTGAATATGTTAAAGCTGTAATGAAATGCTTCTTCTAATCATGTGGTTATTAAATTTTAAAAAATTAAAAAAATAATTAAAAAAAACAAAAATTTTGATTAAGCAGCTTTGGAAGTTGTCATTGATATACAATTTTGTATTTGGAACATAAATTAAAAACCTTCATGCAAATTTCTACAAACAAGTCAAGTGTGGATGTGCAGTGGGTGGTTTTTAAGCTTAAATATTTCAGCTGGATTTAATTACCTTAAGGGATAAGGCTACATGATGGGCCAGTAGTTTACCAAATTATTTTTTATTTTCTGGATTTCGATGTCACTGCAGGTTAATGCATCCTCTTTTCTTCACTAGAGACTTGAGTTAAAATCCATTTTAGGTCATAAGTATAAATGAATTTGTTGTTGTTTTTCCTCCTTGGGGACTTTTTGGCCATTTCGTGAGTCTGCCTTTCCATTTGGAATTGCTGGCAGCTTACACAGGGCCGAGGGGCTGTCATAGCAGGGGCAGTTGCGAGTCAGCGTGAAAATGAACTGGCAGGCTTCAGAGGGCATAGCTGGCCCAGGGCTTGTCAATCTTATATTTCTTGATTCTTTCTTGCTTAACTTAAGGAAACTTATTTGCTACTGACATTTGATTATAGCACATCACAAAACAAGTGATGTGTTTGAGGGTAAGCCATTACACTTTTATTTTTTTTAAACCATTTCAGGCTGGTTTGTATTTGGCAGCTACAGAACTATCTACATTATTTTTTTGTCCACAAAACCTGGATGACTCCTGTAGATCTGTGATTAACATTTTTCATCATCAGTATGTTTATTGGCTTTCATTAATTGTTGGCTTTTCTCTGAATGCTTTTTTTTTTTTTTAATTTAAAAGGAGCATGTTTGTATCTGTAGTTACATTTAGTGGTGTTACCCTGAAGTAGGTAGTGTTGTTTGTTACTGTTTTTCCCTCTACCTATCAGGAATATTAAGAAGCCTAACCTAAGCTGAGAACAGTCATAGACCTTAGCGCCTCAGGGAGCAGGTGTGCTCTTTTTTCTTTAGGCTTAGCTTGCAGTCACCTCTTATCTCCTCCTCATCTTCCTTCTCTCCCTTGCATTCTTCATTCTCCTTTTTCCATCCTTTTTTTCCCCTCCCAATAATATGGGATACCCTTCACTTTTCCCCATTTCCTAATATAGAAGATCTTTATCACAAAGACACATAAAGATAATTGTACTTACAGGAATAAATGAGATCAGACCATATGTGCTTCCCCTACCATGCAGTTGTCAGTTTGAATTTCAGAGTTGGTAACTTTTGGTTTCCAGGGTCCTCCATGTTCTCCATTTGTTGTAGGCATTCCTGTACCAATTTGATTCAATCCTCCTTGTCTTTAAAATATCCTAGACCATTTTACTATAACAGTATTTCCTTCTTTGTAGTTTATCTTTAGTTCTCCATTTAAATCCCCTTTGTTCTGTCATAGTAGATCAGGCTAAGGAGAGGCGAGGGTTTCTACTTCCTATCTCTAGTATGCATGTAAAAATGCTTTTACCTCCTCTGTGTGCATGTGCATATGAGAAAAATGAGTGAGCCTAACTCTATAGATACACATGTGACTTTATTTAATGGAGCTCTGACTCATGATCACCATGAGAATAAGCTATAAAAATATGGTGTGCCTTTATTTGGTCTGAGTCTTAAAGACTTAACATTTATTAAATGTTGATTTAAGCTGGTGTGGTGGTTCAGTGCTGGGGAGGCTGAGGTAAGAGGATTGTGAGGCTACCTTGGGCTACATAGTGAGACCCAGTCTCAACCATTATCATTAGGGATTCTAGTGGAAATATGAATGATATAATCATTTCACATATGTTCTTTACAAGTAATGTATGTGGGGGGGATAAATAGTATATAGGCTTTACTATTGTGCCTTACATGCCTTTATGTCTTTCTTTGTCAAGACCTCC